TGATGCCAAAAAGGGGGAAGATAGCAGAGAACCTGTCCCACCTCCCAGAGAAGCAGAAGGTCCAAGCTCAAGAACTATTAACCCTGCCAGATACTATGAAAGAGCAAGGCAAAAGAGGCTAGCTGCTGGCATTCAGAGACCTCCTCCTCCTAGCTCAAAGAAGAAGAAATCTCCATCCTTCACATTGAACCAATGGCTGAACAGTGGGTTGTCTAAACCAGACACAGTCCAATTTGCTGAGATGAAAAAGCATATGACTCCCCTGCAGCGTGAGAATCTGATCCAAGATGAGAATGGCATCATCACCATTGCTCATGGAGGATCCATAGAAGAAGCTGAGGAATGGTGGAGGATGAGGGTTCTGCCTGGAAAGGATGAGAAGGATGCAATAAGGTATTATCTTGATTGCCAGCTTACTCCACTCTGGAAGAAATACATGATTCCCAGGAACCTCGCTTCAATCAGAGCAAGAGTAAATGCTGAGCTTCAAGAAGCCAAGGTAAAAGAAGAGGCTGTTCTTGCAGAAGTTGCAGAGGAAGATTTCTAAACTTTATCTCTTTTGCATTTCTTACTTGTAAAACTCTGATTAATAAAAATAACCTCTCTGCCTCTATTTTGCATGGCTATATTATATAATGTGTTATCTATTGCTTTCTATTCTTATCTGTTTATCGCGTGATTGCTTGTATCTTACTCTTACTATTTTCCTATGCCAAGTGCCCACCAAGATTTTAAATGAAAGTTTATACTTAACTTATTTTCCCTATGGTGAAAGGCACTTCTCTGGAAATAGTTTAAGGGTTTTGGCATCATCAAAAAGGGGGAAATTGTAAGGAATAAATGTAATTAGATTTTGATGATGCTATAGGATTAGAAAGATAGAGTACCCCCAAATTAGATTTTATGTATTAGAATTTTCAATTGTAAGTATTAGTGTAGTCGACGATCAGAGTTGCTCTGTTTTGGATCAGATCAGGAGTGCATCAGAATTCTTCGACCAGACTCGCTCTATGAGAACTGCTCCATCAGAGTTCTCTTACCAGAAGTCCATCAGAGGTGCATCATGAGAGTTGCTGATAAGACTGGACATCTGATAGCCGATAAGAACTACAGATCAGAAGCACTCATCAGCGGACCCATCAGAGTCAGAGTTCAGTCAGAAGATCAGAAGACCATCAGAACTCAACTCATCAGATAGCCATCAGAATCCAACGTATCAGAAGAACCTGATCAGAGCTCGACGAACACTTAGAAGATTTCAAGCAACATCCAACAGCTATGAATCCAACGGGTAAAACATCCAACGGCTAGAAGACTGTGCATGAAAAGAAAGCATTTAATGCACATTAAATGAGCCTGATACGCTGAAGGATTGATTGCAAATGATTGACCAAGGAATCCGGGAAGATATATTTTAAAAATAGAAACCTTCCAAAAACGGCAGTCAAGTCAACTGTACGCGCATTTAATGCAGTTGTCTCCTCCTCCAACGGGCAGACAACCTCCGTATATAAGCTACATACCGAAGAACTGAAAAACAACTTTGCTACAACTCTTACACATCATCATTCAAGCTCTCTTGAGATTCAAACTCTACAACCTTCAACAAGACAAGCTTACGTTGGGAAGATTCAAACTCCAAATCTCTCATCCCCAACAAACAAGCAAAGTTCATCCTGTTCTTCAACACTTCAAGAACTTCATCAAACATCCTTTGTAACGAAGCAAGTTGGAGGAAAAACTCTGTTTTTCAAAAGGATTTTCTGAAAAGAAGGGCGTCCAAGTAACTGCAGTAGTGAAGTGGTGATACTTCCGGGAAGCTGAGTGAAAGGATCAGCCATCAGGACGTGGAATTGCATCCTGGGTGGCATCTAGGCTTGAAGAAGACGAGGAGTGCTTCTTAAGTGCTAGGAATTAGCTTTGTAACTGATCTACTTCAAAGCTAGTGGAACAGTGGACTAGAGGAACGAGTTGTTCCTTGAACCACTATAAAATATCCGGTGTCATTTACTTTACTGCAATTTATATTTCTGCACTTAGGATATTAACTGATTAACTCTAAGACTTGGAATCTGTGTTCAGCAGATCTTGTTTTCAGAGTTATCAGAAAGGCATTTGCCTTAGTATTTTTCTGAGGCTACCCGGACAGATCAGAATCCGCTGCCAAGGCCAGTTCTGATATCAGAACCAGCCTTTCTCTGTCATCAGAATCAGACCTTCTCTGATAAGTCACTTCGGACTTAGAGAAAATTTGAAAAACCAACCAGTCTATTCACCCCCCCCCCCCTCTAGACTGGTTACCATATTAAACGGGACCAACAATCGTCTTCTCCACATAAACCACATCTTTTCAGGCAATTGACACGCCGTTGTCGAAGGTTCTTCGTCGTTGGCAGGGTGGCGTGTTTCTGTTTTCATTTTTAGTTTTTCATTTTCAAATTGGAAAACATGTTCATCAAATTTTTTTCACTCGGTTCTATGATCGACCAGAAGATCGAAAGTATGGCCTCAATCCGGAAACGAACATAGTAAAACCCAAATAGGGTACCAGGTCCCACGTATAGTAAAGTCGGGACCAAACTCAGCCAGTCCCAGTCGATCTCAACGGTTAGTTTGTCAAATTCTTTTCTCATTTCCCTATTGGTTGATAACTCAATGACTCTTTTAAAACTCTTCACTTTAAAAAATTATTTAAAACTCTGAACTGTCGGGTCATTGACCGGCCCAGACAGCCGGACATGGACCGTCTAGTCGTTGACATGACTGTTCGGGACCGCCCGGTTATTGATCGGACCAAACACAAATCATCGGGTCATTGGCCGGAAATGATGGGGGACCGACGGGTCATTGATCGGGCAGGACGGGGACCACCGGGTGGTTGTCCGGATAGGACGGGGACCGTCGGGTCGTTGACCGGATCAGACGGGGACTGCCGAGTTGTCGATCGGAACAGATCGGACCGAAACTGCTCGACTGTCGACCGGACTGAACAGGTACCGCCTGGTCGTAGATTAGATTGGACAAGGACCGTCGGGTCATCGACCGGACCGGACAGGGGACGCTGAATCATGGACCGTACCGGACAAGGGCCGTCGGGTCGTGGACCGGATCAGACAGGGACCGTCGGGTCGTGGACCGGACCAGACAGGAACCACCGGGTCGTGGATCGGGCCGAACAGAGCCGTCGGGTCGTGGACCGAACAGAGACCGCCAAGTCATCGACTGAACCGGATTGGGATCATCAGGTCGTCGACCGGACTGGACCACTCCTGGATTGCTCAAACGTCGACCGGACCGGACCTAACTGTCGGGTCGTTGACAGGACCAAATAGGGACTGTCGAGACATTGACCAGACCAAACTAGAATTGACACTGGAGTGGGACTGGGTCCACCACTAGGCATAAGCTAAGTATGCAAATTCATTGGAGCGACACTGTAGCATCCGTGTTTTTCGAATTTGGAAAACTAGTAAAGGTCACTTATCTAATTTATTCAGGAAAACATAGACATATCTCATTTTTTTATTTTTGGTAAACGCATTTTTTGGAGTTAGGGGTGGACAAAGTCCGACGGTTTGGCCTAGTCTGGAACCATGCCTTGTACTTTTTGGGACCGAATCGGGTTCGTATTTTCGAAGTCGAGTTAAGACCGGGTATCTGATTGGGTAAAAGGGTTACCCGTTTCTGGGTCTCAATATTTGAGACTGAATCGGGCGGCTCGGTCCTGAACCAGCCAAATTTTTTTAGCTTGAAATCGGACAAAAAAATATAATAGGTACGATATCGAGATCGGGGCCGGACTGCCCAGGTACCCGGAACGTCCCAGAGCCGGAATATAGTTGATCGCTCATGTGGCTCATCAAAATATTGCTAGAAGTGGGCTATCTCGACCCAGAACTAGGGCGGGACCAACTCGGGTCCATCCCCAATTGGATTGTAAAGATTTTTTTGAGTGGGGGATCGAGTGCTGGATTGGATTTATGTCCACCTGCATTCAAGATAATCATCACCCTACCCGTCTATCGCCTTTCCCTGAATAGAATATGGGCGTGTTTGTCATTTAGTGGTTAGTGGACATCGGGTTATGTTAGTGAGTTGTTAATAACGGATTCTGTGAGCGAGTTTGACTAGCGGAATAAGTTGGCTTGGTTGACTGAATATGTTTGGTAATTTAGTTGTTCGGCCGTAAAAATTAGTAGAAAACGTCATATTTCAAAACGATAATCCGAAACGCTCCTATTTGTAGCGTCGTTTTCATTTCAGCAGTTTCATCCAAAAACGTTAGGACCGAACAAGTATTTACCAAAGATGGTTCTCATATCCGGCTCAATGAAACTACCTTCCTCGAGTGTGTCCTCATCCAGCGTCCCCTCGGCATATTACTAGAGAGCAGGAGAGAGATCAATTTTAAGTGCTCGAAGAGGTGTTTATAGATGATTGGTGCCATTGATTTCAAGATTAACCGATGAGTCCAAGATCAACAATAATGGAAGGAGTGGTGTATCTGCATGAGTAAATATATGAGCCGATCTTCGACCGATCTGCAGATTCTCGAACGGTTTGGCAACATGAAGTCATGATGAACAAAATATCGGTTAGCGAATTTAAGCGTGCGTGTTACGTGATCCTAATCATGCATATCTCGCTTATTGCGCTACTAATGATGATGAGTTTAAAATTATATATTAATTCACGCATATATGCCTTTAACTTTAATTTATGCCCAGCCCAGCACACCACTTTTGAATCTTTGAACAAAACACAAACATATACTTCGTACGAAGTATACTCGATCCTCTGTCCCCATTTGTATCCTTGTTTGCATTTTACACGTGAATTTAAAAAAATGCAGTTTACATTTATTTAGAAGGGTTAAATCGATGGTTACAAATCAGTTGTTCTTAAAAAATGTTATTTTCTTTTAAACACACACACATATCTTACTATATATATTAAGCGCCTAAGGTCGTTAGATGTTCCATTCCCGTTAAAACAGTTGGACGGCAGCCTCATTTTAGCGCCGACGAAAACTAAACGCCTGTTACTGTCTTCTTCCATCGCTTCCGATTTTTTCTGTGGTTGGGAATAATGCTTGATGGGATGGGATTTATCGATTGAGATAAGATGCCTACCATTTCGCTCTACCTTCTCTCTTAATTCTGCGGCTTTAGCTTCTCACTCGATGCTTGTGCGGCATCCTAATGCCGCCGGCGGAGGACCACAAGACAGTTGACGATGCAAGGAAGCCCTCATATCCAGCAGCGGTAAGGTTGTTTATACCCGGCCACTGCCTGTACTCACAACCATGCTCTTTTCCGAACATCGGCGACCCTGACTTTCCCATCAGATGAAATCCAGGTTTTCTCCTCTAATTTCTACTACTCTCTGGTTGCGACTACCCTAATGGCCACCCCTCTGGCCGCTATTCAAAAGGCCTTCGAGGCCCTGGGGTTTTCTCCATTTGGACCCAAAACCGATGAAGCTGATAGAACTGATTATGTCACTACTTTTGACTTTGAAGGCCCATTCTTCATGCTCCAACTGATTATGTTTCTGTTGTACCAGTTCTTGCAGATTGCGTTTCTGATAAAACTGATAGAAATGGACTTATTGATTGTGTTTCCGGCGAAGTTGATACCTTGAAAAATGATGCAATTGTAGCCTATGATGAAGCCTCAATGAATGCCTTTGGAAATGCATTATCTGCAGGCCGTGGTCCTGAAGTTGATACAATTGAGTCAATAATTGGAAATGAAGAACCTCTTTCTGATCCGTCTATTGAAACTGACATGACTTATACTACACTTCATCATCCCCTGTCCTATGATGATATTCAGTCTGAGGACCCCCCCCCCCCCCTGTTCTCACTGAGAACAAATTTCCCGCTGTTGTTTTTTTACCGGATTATCTGATTAATCTACTGCTATGTTTCTTTTTGTTGCTGCTTTGGCCATACGAGTTTTAATGTTAGTTTGTTTCATCTTTTTTGGCATTCTGGTCGAAAGGAATTTTGTTCACAAATGAAGTTTAGGATACCTAACATAACTTTGAACTTCTTTACAATATCCTTCTGTTATTTATTTTTTAAATTAGATTTACTAATTGTTTGTTTTTTCATCTGCTACAGTCCTCGAAGAATATGAGCCAAGACTTGAGAAATGGATCCTAATCACACTTCATGGACTGAAACACTTTGATAGGGAAGATGGTTTGTCTTTTGCTAAACACACTTCATTTACTGTCCCTTTTGTTAACGTTTAGCATACCCTATTCAATATTATTTATTATCTCCCAATTATTTAAATGGTGGAAGGGAGTTAGCTTGATCCTATTCTGTTACTGCATCTCCGAGACGGTCGACGCTGCCTACTGCTCCCCTACAAAAAAATGAATGTCAATTTCATTTTTTGCAACCGTTTGGGTTAAGAATTTAAACTTAGTGGATAAAAGCTTTCGTACCTTTTCAAGATAGATTCTTTTTTTAAGCTTCTGCCTGCTGATATCTCATTTATATCCCATCGTCATTTTTAGGGACAATTGATCCTTCGCTGCTATGGGAACAAATAGAGATCCAGGTTTCCAAGTGAAAAGAAGAAGCTTTTAGCAGGAGAGAGATACATCATTTTTATGCTGAAGTCTAATTTCTAACCTGGCAGCCATTTATATGTGTTTGAGACTTCTAGGTTGAGCTCAGTGTGCTTTTGACCTCTTAACTCTTCATATTTAAAAAACATGTTTAAATATGTTCTAGGATGTATGACCAAACACTATTTCTTTAGAGTGACATAGGTAAACATTCTAGACTTCTAGCCTAAACCTGGGCCACCTGGCTGATATTGCTCTTTTTCATTCGTAGTCTAAACTCTGAAGAAGTTGTCTTTTTAGCTTACTCCTCTGTCCCATAGTTTTCCATTTATTGCTTACTAATTAATGCGGGTGTTTATGTGTAGCACCCGTGGAAGATATGAACGGGAGAGCATTGTTATGCCAAGTATCATCTCTAAAGCCAATGGTTCACTGGTTTTTCTAATGCATATGAGCTGCTAAAACTCCTGGAAGAAATCAAGTAGGTTAGTATGGATTAGACACTTTTCGTTTTGATCCTTTTCTACTCTTGTGTAGACTACATGCATCTCTTTTTTCCAGCATGTTAGAAGAATTTAATAATTCTGTCTACGAGTAGTTGCAATGTACAAAATGATGACATTGTTTTCATAAATGTCTGAAACTCTGACTACAGAAATCAATATAATGCAGCTAATTGTGTTGGAGAGTCTTGAGTACCGAACCAATAGCAAGTCAACTGATATGTTCCATTTGTTTGACTATTGTAGGCACAAGGTCGTATTAACAAGATAAGATGGCAATGAGCTTGATTTATGTACACCATCAGCAATTAAAATCTGTAGCCCAGATTCAAAAGTATGTCATATTCAACAGTCATTCAATTCCTAAGTTGTTAACAGTTCTACTTGATTTTATCTTGTATGCTAAATTATATTTCTTGGTGAAGCAGAGTTTGAAATATAGTTGTGTGTTTTTTTACCATCAGGAAATGAAAGTGAATTCTTCACTTTGTTGCGCTAACGTTGGCAAAAGTAAAATTACAACTGCATATTTTTTTATTATTATTATAAAATAATAATAGTAATAATAATAATAATAATAATAAAAGACTTGAGTTTGATAACTTTTCTTGTTCTTTTCATCTTTCATTCATGCCTTTTTCTTTACTTTCACCCTGTTGTACAGAGGAATAATTTTGCATTAAAAAATTTGAGACGACAATTACATTTTTTCTTTCACTATTTTATTGAAAAGTTTTTAGCATGTGGTCCATTGCATTACTTTTGTTCGTACAGTGTGCATTGCAATATGGTTACTGCTTAGCAGCTATATTTAGATACCTGGTAGTTGGCAAGCTTCACAGTGTTTATTGTTTTGGATGGGCCTTTTTGCTTTAAAACCTGGGATATTGCTTCATTGAGGTTCAGATCTATTATCTGAAGCTTTATGATATTTATCACTGTTAGCTCAATATCAGTTATTATTAAGGTTTGGTTGCCTTTCAAAGTTTGTCTGGATCGGATTTTCTATGTTGATTTGGAGTGATATTTAACCAAGTTATATCATTAATTTTTCTAGCCTTTCTGGAAATTGATCATCCAGATGCATGAGCTCCTTGACATCAAGCCCTAATATTACCTGGGAGTATGGTGTTTTGCAAACGACCATATAGTAAATGTACCTATGTCACTCTAGAACATGTTTAAAAAATATGTTCTAGAATGTATATCCAAAAACTATTTTCTTTTCTTAGCGTGAGATAGGTAAACATGTTTTTCTTAGAGTAATATCCCATTTCTCCTGTTTTAGGCAGTCTGTTATGCTTTTCTTTTGTCATTTTCTTTTTTGTTCATTCATCATGTCAATCTCTGTTTAATCTGTTTAAAATGTAAGGAGTGTTTAGATTGATGCTGCTCAAAAGAATTTCACTTCAGGTTTTCATGCCATTTTTTATATACTTCAAATTTTCCTTGGCTGTTTGTTTTCTCTTTTGTTCTGTCATGTTCCCCTAGATTAGTTATTATTTTTAATGTACTATGAAATCACAGGATGCCATAGAAACTTCTTCTTGAAAAACTACCCGACTCTTCTTCAACAAATTGTATGTTATGGAACCTATCCACTTATCCAGTCGTGTATATATGTTCTCTTAGTATATTTTCAGTTCTATTACCCTTTTAATAAATCAAGATTACGGCCTAATCCTAAGAAAGTCAAACTTTATGTTCTGATTTTTGAGTAATTTACCTAAAAGAGGGAATTCTGCATAGCACCGACACAATAATCATTCTTATGAATATGCAATTTCTAAATAGCAGACTCATGAAAACATAGTCTATCGTATGTATCTTCATTTTGAAATAATAGGACATCTTTTTCGTGTAGAAAGTTTCCTTATGGAACTATCCAGATCTTAGAGAAAGGTATATGTATATGGAACTTAAATACCTTTTTCTAAATGTATCACACACATCTTCTACTTGAGTAACAACGTTGGTTTCTCACTTTCAGATCTTTCCGGAATTACAGAGAGGTAGCTCTGAAACACTTACAGGCTACTAAAGACTCTGCTGACTCAAACCTGCTTGAAAAGGCTCATGTTAACTATGAAGGGGTAAATTTGTTTCTTAATTTGATTCAATAGTCAATGCTGCCAGCTCTAAACTATATGTTTCCCATAAAGTTTATTGTGAAAGTAATTATCTAAGATTAGTTTACACTTTATCCATCCAAAGAAAAGGAGTAACAAAGTTTTACGTTAGATACACTTCTTGTTACAAGCACCTTATGAGGCATCATATTACATCATACTGAAATTGGAATGTCAACAGGGTAGAATTGTTAGCTATGGTGAGTGGTTCATTTTGAGACTCCCGCTTTATGATCCTGTTCTGCCACTTAATATAAGGTGTATTAGCTATATTTTTAATGTGACTTGTCAACAATATGTATTCTCTGTGTATTTCCTCCTTCCTGTAAAAGGTCATGCTTTAAACTTTTTTTACCAAAGAAGAATCATATTCCATTGAAGGGTTTTGACTTTATGATTGGCTCCCTTTGCAAAACTATTCCTTATTTTTTGTTTATGTATAAATAAAGCTTCTCTTGTCTGTCAGTACCGGCCTAGCTCGGTACGTGCTTTCAGGATGCCTGATGGAGACTCTGGCAACTTTCTGGTTAGTCATTGTTTATGTGGGGATTATGCAACTTAGCTTTCAAAGCAGAGTTTTTAAATAATGTAATTAAACTTTTAATCATAATAATAGAGATAAGAAGACATTACATTGGAACATAATGACTATTATATTACTTTAGGATCTTATGTCAACTTATATGATGGTCGTGTCAGAATATTTACTGTCACTTTAATGGTTTAACACAAGCCTCAAGCTACGAGTTCCAATCTTTTATATGTTTTCACTTTACAGGCTGCTATCGTTACTTCATATACATTGGAGAATGATATGGCTTTTCCTTTGTGTTGCTCCCCAGCAACTAGAAGCCTATGTGTACGTAAATTACAAGTTTGTTGGATTAATAGAAAATTTTGTTTCGTATTGACCTCAGTGCATCTCTGCGAAATAATGCAGACTTTCAGTAAGTTGTGTTCTTAAAGAACAAAAGTATCACAATTTTCTCCTCCTGGACAGCCAGGGGGCACATGCTATGAGCCTGTGATTGTTATTGTTGATTATCTTCTATGATGAATATAAAATTCCCACGTAGAAGTGATATATTATTGGCAGAACTAACTAATCTATTTTTTGGTTAGTTTTTCCCAAATGGGGAACGTTCAGGTTAGTTTTTTGGTTAAGCTTTGTGCATGTTTTATGCCGCTAAGGGAGATGATGAGTAGACGTCGAATCTTCAAATAAAATTAACCCAAATGAAGATAGTTCATGTACCGGTAAGCTGTTTTTGAACTGTATTTGTGTCTTTTGGGTTTTATTACGAGTTGATATTTTCATTGATATATTAATCTATTTTAAGATTCATTTTGTGCTTATTTAGTTACACGATATTTTATGTGACCTGTTTTATATTGATTCAATATGTGATATGAAATAAATTATATCTTTATAGGACTGATTTAGTGAGTGCACATAGTAGGAACATTAATTTTCTCAAAATAGTTAAAGTATATTTTCTGTTTATTTTAGTTTTTGTGTAGAAAATTTTTTGGGCTCTTGCCCGTTCGTTCACTTCCTTTGTTTACAATGGTTATTATTTCATATGCTTGGTATCTTGGCCACATGCAATTTGTGAAGCACCACACCCGCGCAGGTCACAACCTCATCGGCGAGGTCCATTAATTAATCTCGCACCACATTGTTGTACCTTCACTCTTTTGTTGTGATATTTGTGACCCAAACATTCAAACTGAAATATTAATTGACTACCCTACTGTAATAGACAACAATGAATTGCTTTTTATCACTTGGCTTTTGTAATGCATTTGCACATCTTTCCCACAGAATGCAACGTTCTCGTTCTTTCCTTAGATTGGGCATCACATGTCGCGCAAGGCGCGCCACCGAGCTAGTCTTACTATATATATTAAGTGCGTAAGATCGTTAGATGTTCTATTCCCGTTAAAACGGTTGGACGGCAAATCCTATTTAGCGCTGCGTCATGGTCCCTTCCGTTGAATTCACGTGTCCGGCGAATCTGTTGACAGGGAGCGCCTTCGCACTGTTCCAACGTATGTGTGAGCTGCTCGCTTGCCAAAAATATCTAAGCCCCTTGGTTGGTCTTGCGTTTAGGCTCCTTGGTTCTTTGGTTTTGCTCTCACTCCCTCTGCGCTTGGTTTTTTTCCTGCCCTGTGAGTTTCTTTAATTTGCTTACACTCATCTACTCTTTGGTGTTCTCTGTAGTATTTGTTGTTGTCGCTCGCTGGTGTTGGTGTATTGCTTCGGGTCGGGGAGTGGGTCATTACATGTTTTTGGGGTACGGTCTTTTCTTGTTGTTGGTTGACGTTTTGGAGGCATGTGACTTTTGTGTTTGCACTGGATTGTGCTGCCTTGCACCGTTTTCTGTGTGTTCTGTTTGCTGATTATGGTGTATGGCCTGGTGTTGTCCTTTGTGGCAAACCTTCAGGGGGGCGCAGACCTTTGGTTGAGTTCGTATTTGTTAGTTGTCGGATTGGGTGTGTGTTGGGTCACTTTTAAACCCCCCCTATTAGGTGTGATGAGGTTCGATGTTTTCCCAAAAATAACACTTGTTTTTTGTTTCTTTATTTATTTTCAGGTGTTTGGGAAGTTTGTCCTGCAGTTGTATGCTCTTCCTTTACTGGTCTTGTAAGTTTCCTTGTTTGTTTTATAATGTCGATGCATTTTTTTTGTTACCTTTGTTTGTTTGTCTCGCTGGAATGTGTTGTTATCTTTTTTTGCTTTGCTGAGTTTTTGGGCTGTGTTATCCTTTTGGGTGTGGTTTTGATCAGCATGTGAGCAGTGTGCTGTGTTTTGGGGAGGGGAGGTTATTCTGCCTTGACACTTCACTGTCTTATGCGGGTGTGACAACCCGTCGAACTTTTGTTAGGTTGGTTATTTCCAGTGTTGTTTGTGGCAGTCACGTGTTTAATTTTTTCCCCTCTCGGCTGCCCAGCGTACTTGTCAATGGCCACACGTGGTGGGTTCGGCAGCATTGTTGCACCGGAAGAACAGCGTGCGCGTAAGAAGAGGCGTCGCCAGTTGACGAGAAAGGCTTCACAGTTTGCCACTTCAACTGTCGGCTCATCACTTCCACTCCAACGTGTCTGCTGTGGTGTTGATCTGCCAGGTGCGTGCGATCTGCACTATGCTGGCATCCTTCATATACTCTTCTCAAACCGGCCTTAGATTTGTCTGACATTTTTACCTTTTGTGTTTCCAAAACAAATCCCTCAACCTCGTGCCTGATATGCATAACCTTGTTCATTTTCTTGTCATTTTTGGCCCTCTGTGTTTTATATTATACATTGTCCGTAATGTCTTCTCTGTAATTCGGCGCTCTTTGGATGGTGTTTTTATATTCTCTGTGTCTCGTTCACGCTATACGTACATTGTATATCTTGCTCTTTTGACCACGCCCTGCTTTTGTGCGGCTATCTGTTCTATGCTCCAATCATCATTCTTTACTGCCTTTGTTCACATTGCTTTGCACCCGCGTGTTTATACGAAAAATTGTTAACGCACCCTCGGGTCTTGGTGATATTCTATGATGCGACCTGCGCAAATCAGGTACGTGTGATTGCATGGACTCCGTTGGCGTGTGCCCCTCTGCCCCCGCTGCTGTACATGAATTTTACCGTCTAAGCCCTGTACCCGACTGTTCGTTTTGCGGTGCTGAGCGGATTCAATACGAACCTCCCGCCATGTGTTGTAGTAAGGGTGAGATTGTGCTTACCTCTACTGAAATGCCTGCACAATTGCAGCGCTTATTTACTGCCCGTGATCCTTTGTCTAAACATTTCCAGACGTGTGTGCGAACGTACAACAATACGTTTGCCTTCACATCCATCGGCATATATAACTACGACAGGCAGCTATGTAGACGAAATCAGGGAATTTATACATTTAGAGTCCAGGGTCAGATCTATCATTTTATCAATGACTTGCTCCCTGATGGGTGCCCGCCGCGAAACTTGCAACTATACTTTTACGACACAGAATGTGCTCTGGATAGCAGGCTAGAAAGTACTGACCACCTGGACAGAGCAATTGTGACAGCGTTGATGGACGTACTATCCACAAACCCGTATGCGCAATTTTTCAAATCATTGTCTGAGATTGAACGCACAGATGAATTTTCCATCGTGTTGAATGGTAACCCTGCTCTTGATCAACGGGTTTACAATCGACCAACTTCGTCCCAAGTTGCTGCTGTTTGGGTTGAGGATGAATACGAGGGACTGGTATCCAACAGGAACATTCGTGTGTATGCACACAGCGGTGGGTCACAAAATATTCATTACTACTATGGTTGTTATGATCCATTGCAGTATCCTCTATTATTCCCTCTTGGTGAAGTTGGGTGGCATGAAGGGATACCAAAGACACATGGAAGCATTGCCAATAATGCTGTGCAGCCACACTCTGCTGTTTCTGTTGACTGTTCGCAATTTGAAACTGATAATGCTCTAATTGCTGGAGAGGATAGCATGCGGGCTGATGGCAAGAAGAGGGCGTCTGTCTCGTGCAGGCAGTATTATGCATACAAGCTCCAAATGCGCCATGAAAACACCTCTTTCATACTGCACACTGGGCGCCTGTTTCAACAGTACATAGTAGACATTTATATAAAGATAGAAACGCAACGGTTGGACTATTACCGGAGTAAACAACGTGAATTTCGCTCAGACACGTATCAAGGTTTGGTTGACAGTGTTGGTGCAGGCGTGCAGAACACCAGTGATGTTGGGCGGCGTGTAATGCTTCCTGGGTCCTTCATAGGTGGTCCCCGGGATATGCGCGGTCGTTACATGGATGCGATGGCCCTTGTGCAGAATTTTGGTAAGCCTGATCTGTTTATAACGATCACGTGCAACCCTAATTGGCCTGAAATCAAAGAACGTTTGTCTTTCGCGGATGAAGTCCAAAATCGGCCAGAACTTGTTGCTCGTGTCTTCCGTGCTCGGTTGGAGGACTTTAAGAAGGACGTGATAAAGGGTGCATTGTTTGGCAAGGTAGTTGCGTACACGTATGTGATCGAATTCCAAAAAAGGGGTCTTCCCCACGCTCATTTCTTGCTGATCCTATCACATCCTTGCAAAATTAGTACGTCTGACCAGTGTGATCAGCTTATTACTGCTGAGCTTCCAGATCCTGCAACTGACCCTGTATTATATCTTCTTGTAAAGAAGCATATGATCCATGGCCCTTGTGGTCTCATGAATCTTAAGTGCCCTTGCATGGTTACATCACGTGGGTCGGAAACACCTTCGTGTAGAAGTAACTATCCGCGCGAAATTGTTCCCGTGACATTATTTGATGAAAATTGTTTTCCTACATATAGGAGGCGAGCTTCTGGAATTACAGTGAAGGTGAGGAACTATAACCTTGACAATAGGTGGGTGGTCCCCTATAATGTACACTTGTTAAGAAAGTACGATTGCCATATCAATGTCGAATCCTGTGCAAGTGTTAAATCTGTTAAATATATATACAAATATGTATATAAAGGGCATGATAGGGTGAGTATGGCGTTGTCAAGTGTAGGTGATAACGATGTCATTGATGAGATATCAGATTTTCAAAAAGCCCGTTGGGTCTCTCCGCCTGAAGCTGCGTGGCGTATTTTTGGTTTCCCCATTGCTGAAATGAAACCTGCTGTCTTACAGTTACAAGTACACTTAGAAAACTCACAGTACCTGAATTTTTATGGGAACCAGCGGATTACTTATGTAACCGATTCTGCAGATTCTACTAAAACTATGCTCACTCAGTTCTTCTCTATGAATTCAACCAATGCAACTGCCAGGGCATTAAACCTGTTGTATGTTGAATTCCCTCATTATTTTGTGTGGACAGCCCATAAAAAAACATGGACTCAACGACAAAGAAAGGAAGTCTTGGGCAGGCTTGTTTCTGTTAATCCTTTTGAGGGGGAACGCTACTACCTTCGACTACTTCTTGGAAATGTTCGGGCGCCCACATCTTTTTTAGATTTGAAAACTATACATGGGCAGCTGGCTGCCACGTTCAGGTCTGCAGCCGAGCAGCGCGGTCTTCTGTCGGGTGACTTTGTTATACGTGCATCACTAGATGAGGCTGTTCTATACCAGCTTCCCTCTAGCCTGCGCAAACTGTTTGCTACCCACCTCTGTTTTTCATCAGTTCCAGATCCTCGCGCGTTGTGGAATGACTACAAAACTCACTTGTCTGAGGACCTGGTTAGATTTCAAGGCTGCTCTGAGGCGGAGACGGCCGTGTTGTTCCTACTGCGTGACCTGTTTGTGGCAATGGGGAAGGACATAAATTCCTTTAACCTGGTTGAAACTGACCTGACAGCGCCTTTGTATGAGGGGAGTAGCTGTGAATTGGTTGCTGAGCGTAGTATACGGGTGAACGATATGGACTTGAATAGCATCTCTTTCTTAAACACTCATCAACGCCTAGCTTTTGACACTATTATGGAATCTGTACACGCTTCTCAGGGTGCTGTATTTTTTGTTGACGGTCCTGGAGGTACAGGAAAAAGCTTTTTATATAGGTGCCTATTGGCCGCGACCCGGGTGAACAAGTGGATTGCACTTGCAACTGCGAGTTCTGGCATTGCTGCCTCTATTTTACCTGGTGGGCGTACTGCACATTCGCGCTTTAAACTACCAATTGACGGTGAATCAAAATACATTTGCAATATTGGCAAGCGGTCAGCAACAGCCATCCTTCTTAGAGAAGCTCGTCTGATTCTGTGGGACGAGGCATCCATGGCCAACCGCATGATTGTTGAGAGCCTTGATACAACGCTAAGAGACATTCTCGGTGTTGATTCTCTGTTTGGTGGCAAGATTATGGTCTTCGGTGGTGACTTTAGACAAACCTTGCCTGTTATCCGCTCTGGGACAAAGAAAGATTTCGTTGATGCATGTCTGGTGAAATCGAGCTCCATCTGGCCTCATGTTCATCGTTTGCGCTTGACGAAAAATATGCGCGCACATGAGGATCCTGCCTTCTGTGACTACTTAATGCGTGTGGGAAATGGAACTGAACAGAACGACCCAGCTGGCCGGATTAGAATCCCTTCCAACTTTATGCTGCCTTGGATCAATGAAAGCACCTCGCTTGACTTACTATTTTCAGCGGTGTATCCTGACTTGCACGTATTCCAAACTGACCCTTACACTTTGATGGGTCGTTCCATACTCACTACAAAAAATGATATTGTTGACTTCATCAACACATCTTTAATGCACAAATATCCTGGGGAAGAACACACATATCTTAGCTATGATACTGCAGTTGATCCAAAATACATGCACTGTGAAGATTACCTTCACACATTGTCCCCAAATGGCCTGCCCCCACACAAACTAACTTTAAAGCCTAATTGCCCTGTGATGTTACTACGCAATCTAAACCCGACTGAAGGGCTATGCAACGGCACGCGGTTAATATGTGATTCGTTTGGAGACCATGTCTTAAGTTGTTTCATTGCCTCAGGCGATCACAGGGGGAAACATGTGTTCATACCTAAGATTCCTTTGGAAGTATCGAAAGATGAAAAATGTGCTATGCCCTTTAAGCGTACACAATTCCCTGTAAAAGTTTGCTTTGCCATGACAATAAATAAGTCTCAAGGTCAAACACTTGACTTTGTTGGTATCTATTTGAAAGAGCCTGTCTTCTCTCACGGTCAGCTCTACGTCGCAATGTCAAGGGCTAGAAATGCACAGTCAATAAAAATCGTGATCTGTCCAGTTGACCAGCAACGATCAAATAGTAATACTACCTCCAATGTTGTGTATGACGAAATATTGCCTTTCATTAACTAGAGGTCATATGTTACGAATATATGCATTACTCTTTTTCCCTTTACTGCCCTTCATTTACTTTACGAGCTGACGTAGAACCCTTTCGCTGATAATTGCAGGTGATTTACGATATGGCTGCAGAACTGGCAATTATAGACGTCAAACCAGAGGTGCCCAAATGGACATGTCGTGTTACTGTTGTTGAGAAGCAAAACATACGCACAGGAAAAACCTCACCAGTGAAGTTTATGCCGATGATTCTTATGGACTCAACTGTAAGTTGTACTTCGCGTTCTTCGCCTTGATTTTGAACCTTATCATGTTATACTACTTCTTTTCTGCACAATGCTGATAACATCTGTATACCAATTCTGAGCAGGGGACAAAGGTGCAAGCCACTGCATTCCAGGGTGATATCGCTGGCATTGATCAGCGTCTGTCGCTGTATTCAACGTACCTCATCTCTAACGCTTATGTGAAGCCGCTGACAGATCTTCGCTATTGTGTTGATGACGCATACAAGTTCGTTTGGTCTTTCACAAGGCGGACTTTGATACAGGATGTTCAACCAGAAGAAGGGGTTAACTTCCGTCAGCTTGCGGAGGCGGGAACCAGGCCATTCTGGGAGTTTTTCACTTGCTACCTGAATAATGAACACATCAGTACAGTACACTTGATACGAGCTTTTTCACTTGCTTCCAGTTATATGGGCTCTTCCAGCCATAGTTTATGCCCAATTTCTGACTGGTTTATTTGCAGGCGTTCTTGCTGCAATTGTGTCAAAGTTGCCACGTACGTTTATCGTTACAGACAATGGCCAGAAACTTGCCTGGGACGTGGTCCTTGTTGATGAAGAGTAAGAATTTTTTTTTGATTACATATGCGCTCTTTTCCTTGACTGTGCACAGTGAGGAACATGTCATTTTCTAACTCATTCTCCAGCTGCACTCCTGTGCCACTTACTATGTGGGAAGAGTTTGTGACTCGCCACGGTGCTGAGGTTGAAAAACGCCTAAATGAAGGAGATCGCCCCCTTGTGCTCCTTAACAGGGTTGCTGTCAACCTCTTTCAGGGTAGGACTGCTGTTTGTCTAATAAGTTATATTTTCTTACCTGCTGAGTGGTTTCCTAACGTACATCCCTCCTCACAGGCCTTTCATTGTCAACACGATACGATAGCCATATGGAACTTGCGCCAGTTGGTGAGCGTGCATTAATTCTTAAAAAATGGTAACTTCATTTTCCTCTCATTCACTACACATCTTTTTGAGCTCCCACTACAAATGACCAGCCCTTTACTTGCTAACCAGGGTTAATGCTAATACGGCAAAGATAGATAAACTTCTGGTTGACAAACGATATGAAGATGCTCTAGCTGATATCGCCCACCCTATCACACAACCACGCACTGCTCTTTCCGATGTGGAAGCTGGGCTTAACAAGGTGCGTTACATACTTTTAACGATGTTGTTCTCCTGCCTGCGGTGAATTTATTTAGTTGTAAAAAATTGTTCAATTCTCTTTCATGCCTATCTCCGTCACAGGTTCCTGTAGTGTGGGTATATGGAAAATTTAGCTTGACTGATACTTCCGGAGATAGTTTCTACGTGGGCTGTGATTATTGTAACCGTAGAGTGTATGCAGATGATGGTGAAGAATTTGAATGCTTATTCTGTGGCCAGAAGCAAGGAACCACTGTTAAACGGTAAGACCCTTATAGACTGCCTATGCCATTTTTACTTTGTTTTGTTGCTAAATCTTTTCAAATGCTGCAGCTACATCTGCAATGCCACGCTCCATGATGCAAGCAGCTGCATCCCTGTTACGATCTTCACAAGTGACATCTTCCGCTTGCTTGAATTCACTGGCATGGATCCTGGTGTTGACATTGATTTGCCCGCTTTGGATGCACGTCTCCAATCGATTACTCTCGTTGCAGGTGTAAAGCGTTCGAGAACCAATGAGAATGGTATCCAGAAGAACCCTTACAGTATCGTGCTTGTTTCCAACGACCAACCACCTCTGCAACCTGCCCTGTCCGTTGCCACCACTTCATCAAACACTCCGATGGATGCTACCGCTGTGCCCAAGCGAAAGCTGCAGTTCAAGTCAGTGAAGGATATAGCATCACCTGATCATGATTCCAGTTCCCGGGGACAACTCGAGGATACTGATGGCCCAGACGAACTGCTTGTGAACCTTCGCAGCAGGAAGCGTAAGGCTCCTGCCCCTTGATCACCACATTTAGCCCTTTTTGCTGTACAGTTAGCATCCATTGCAATGGCTTTGCTTGTATGTACATAGTGAACTTTTTTTTGCTGCACCTTTGGCTCTCATCCATTGCTCTAGGATTGCTTTCTCTACCTTATCTCATTGCACCACTAACCAACCAGTTTTTTTGTCCTCTGTGCCCTGCTCACTTGGTTCATAGCTGCGCTGTACATATGGTTTCGCACTTCACCGTTTTTTTTTAGTAGCTTGCTGAAAACCATGTATATATACAACTGTTGTGGGTGCACATGTTACATTTATTAGTGGTGGCTACGTTTTCATAAAAAGGTAATGATAAGGGTTCTGTTTTGCTACATCTATTTAACTGGATTCGAACTATTTGCCAGTTTGTTATCATATGTGTCTTACACTTTCATGTTTAGCATCTGAGAAACTAGCGACCAGAACTCACGCATGGCCCCACCTTCTTGGGGTCGTGTAGCTACTTTGTACTTTCTTAAATCATTTCTTTTCTTCACTTTTTGCATTCTCTTTCAAATGTGTGGGTTACCATATTTTTTAAAAAACAGGTTGCGTTTCAACTGCCTATTTGCCTCTTTCCAAGCTACAACAGTGTTTCAGTTGTTTTAAAATGAACTGACAAAACCAAAGAACAAAAAACAAAAAAAATCAATTGGTTTATACACCCCCATCCTTTCTCATTTTCCTTTCATCCGGCAAAATTATGATCCTTATTATTGTTATTACTATTTTTCAACAATATTATTTTTACTATTGCATTTGCTATTATTTTGTTAAATGTATATAAACTAAGCCAATTTTAGCAATATATAGAACTATTCTGAAAAAATATCAAAAATCCACAAACATGAAAAATGAAAGTCGGAAAACTCAAATAACTATTACCATATTTTATATCTGTTTAAAATAATATTTTACCCTAATTTATAATACACATCACCTAGAAATATTCTTATCCCGGTTTTACTATAGTAGAGTACAATAACGAATATGAATATAACTAGAGGTAGGATCGGATCGGGTAGTGTTGGTTTTTTTCAAGGACCGTAACAACCCCGAAAAGCTTCGGGTTTTACATTTTTGGGCCCGGTCGGCAGACCAATACTTTCGGATTAGTCCAGTTTTTAGAACGCCTCCATGTCGGGTTAGGTCCGGATCAGGTCGAGTTAAACCCCAAAAAAGATCTCTCTGATATATCTAAACACAATTAAAATAGAATTACAACAAGAACTGCAAACATTTAAACTCTTAATAAAAAAATATACGCGCTATATTAAAATTAAAGCAGTATATTTTGAATATAAAAATCACACGCTAGAAAATATTGTAAAAGAACAATTGGTTCGAAGGCAAAATAACGTCCCCTCCGTCCCAAATTGATTTACAAAGTCAAGATTTTTTTTCCAACTAATGTTAAAGTTAAATACTCTATATTGATACATCATTCAATTTTAAATAATTAAATATTACATATTAACATATTACATTAAAATATATTCAAAAATGCAGGTTACAAGTTAAATATAATTACAACATTGTCATCCAAATTAAGTGAACAAAATACAATTGTTTGATTAAAAACCTCATTATTTGCAAATCAATTTGGACCGAATGTAATGTAAAATAGTCCGTACGTATGATATATATATATATATATATATATATATATATATATATATATATATATATATATAATAAAGATCAAATGAGAACATTGCTTAACGTGAGAACGTGAGAACACCACTTTTTCCCCAACGTGTTGCACAATGAAGCTTGTATATTGCACATTTTCACATTTTAACAGTATTTACAAAAATGCCACCGTGTTTATTTATTATACTCTTATTTCGACCAAATTGAAAATGTACAACAGAATAGCTCCATTGTGCACCACATTGATTTAAATGTGAGTGTTCTCACGTTCTCACGTTAAGCATCGTTCTCACTGGAACCGCACCATATATATATATATATATATATATATATATATATATATATATATATATATATATATATATATATGTATGTATGTATATCGTTGTGATATATGAATAGGTCATACATATTTTATATGAAATATACATATTTTAGTTTCTGAATTAAATTGGGTCTTTTCGTTCCAGGTCGGACTTACAATTTAAGACCCTTAATTAAAACCTGAGTTTTCGGTTTCGGATCGGATATTTTAATCCGGGCAGGTCATTTTTAAAATAAAACACGTCCCACTATCGTATATCATTTCAATCGGTTTGGTTATCGGTTTTTGAATCAATTTTTCACACCCCTAAATACAGCTAAAGATTTTATTCGTATATATGTGTCTATACACATTACCAATTAGGATATTTTTACTTAGACTGTAATTTGCCCCAGACCAGACCAGACCAGACCAGTTCAGACCAGACCAGACCAAACCAGACTTGGATAGTTATAAAAATACAAAGAAACCAGACCTTACCAGACCAGACCAGTTCAGACCAGACCAGACTAAACCAGACTTGGATAGTTATAAAAATACAAAGAAACCAGACCTTACCAGACCAGACCAGTTCAGACCAGACCAGACCAGATCAGACCAGACCAGACCAGACCAGCAAATTACAGTCCAAGTAAAAACATCCTTAGGCCCCATCTGATAATATGAAAACACTTTAAAATAACTCTGTTTAAAACAGCTGTTAAACATGCAAAACTAGCTCTTATGTTTTATTTATTCCCACACACAACCCGCGACCCTCTGCCTCCCGCACGCCTGAAGAATTCAGCACTCGGTTCAAAGCACCTCAGCATCGATTCTTCCTCCGATCATCATCACAGGTACATCCCGATACTGGACTCCCAATCCCCCTGTTTCTGAAAATTTTACCACAAAGATTCCCAACCATGCATCAGCTTGCAGTACCTGTAATGGTGTTTTAGTGTACAGAGAAAATTCCATACGTCTTTGTCCTTTATCCTTCGTTTCACTCTTTATGCCGTCTCGCTGGTCCTTGATTTACCTCAAGTGAAGAACACGGCCAGATGTTTGTTTGTTGTTACTTGTGTTTTTTTTTTCCTTTGCAATTTTCGAGGATGCTCTGAGTTTTTTTTTTGTTATTTTCCAAATTGGTTGCAGCTATATGGATTTGCTGAGGAAGTGTGTTGTTGAGTCCACAAAGAATAACAATGGAGAAGAAACACTCTCGTACTTTGTGAAGACTGTGCACGGAAGAAAAATCCTTGTTGCTATGTTTACCCCTACCGATGAAGGTGGGCATGAGTGCCATGCCAGTCAAGAGTGGAAGCACTTTTTGCGCTCTACGGGGTATTTCAGGCTGCTGCCAAAAAAATTCCACACCAAGGCAGAAATCAAACATAAACTTAACCATTATCTGGAACACCCTGCTGCAATGCCCGTAATCCAAGGTTGTATTCCCGTCCACAGTGCTTTTGCTTTATTTGCCTTCGATAACCATGATATACAATGTTAATCATTTGTAGCATGTCAATCATTTTTGTTTTAGCCTTACCGCTTTTTTTGATGAAATTGTTTGCCCTTTCTAGCATGCCCAAGAACTGGTCTGGTTCATTTCCCGGATGTCCTGCAATTCACGGTTGTCTGGTTCCTCTTGCAGGCCACAGAGTTTGAATTTGCTGTACGATTTTGTCAACTTGTTAATGACATTGCCCTGTGTGTCTGTTATTGACTTCCAATTTACTGCTATTTGCTTTGCGCTTTATTGTACAGCGGATCCCTGAATGCATGCACAGGCATTTATTTGAACATGCCAAGGGGTACGCTCGCCTTGTTTACGGTGGTGCGTGCTGGCCTGTCAAAGTCGACGACTTCTGTTTCTCCAGTGGGTTTACTGAGTTCTTGAGTGAAAATGACGTTGCTTTTGGAACCCACATGCTTCTTCGCCACATCGGTGACTTCACATTTGAGGTCTTAATGTTTGATGATCTGGGATTTTCTATAGACCGAGCTGCGCCACCCAGTGGTTCTGTCGACATTGTGGACAGACCAGGTACATGCGCTTCATTTTTTATTACTTTTACACCCCAACACTTACATTTCATACTTCTCATTGGTTTATCTCCCAGACTCCCACAATTCAAACTTCCACTTGCATCTTTGTAACACTTCCTACAGTTGTGCGTTCTTTATATATGTTCCTAATGACTGCAGATTACTTTCGTGTTCACGTCGACTCCTGCCTTCCAGATAGCACATACAGGCAACTCTACTGTCCTCCCTCTTTTCTGTACGTGCACAAACAGACGCCTAAGGTATACGCCTTTTGCCATTCACTACTGCTTTTTAATGTGTGGTCCTTTGAGTCTTCCTGTGTGTTGCATTTATTAGAAGGCTTTAACCTCCTGTATAGCACACTGTATCAACTGAACACACTTTGCCCATCCATGTCATTACCATTGTTTACTATCATATTTAACCCATGTGAGGAAAACCAGCACATGAATGCCACATATATGTCTCAGCAGGTGATTTCATCAATGTTATTTCCTAATTAGTATCTTTGTACGCATTCTTGCTTCCCAAACCCTTACAACATATTTAGTTTTCCATAGGATCTTACATATTGTGATCTGTACCATTTTCATCGTAGCGAAGGAATTCTTACGGTATGCTCTTATTTGTTCAATGCAGAAATTCTGTGAGGCATTTTTGCGCTCTTGCACTGACATGAGGGGACGTCTACAGGTCTTCTACGGAAAACAGTCTCGGCTCTCCATTGTTAGGGAAGAGTCAATGTTACGTGACATTCAAAAGACTTTTCACCTCCACCGGCAAACCACTCTAGCATTTATCAAACATGGACGTGGTAGGACACTCCTGATGGCAATCTCAAAATGTGGACTGGAAGAGCCCCCTAAACGTGCTAAAACATATGAAATCTGCACACCAATGCGCGCCGACTGTTAAGGAACTTCCTACTCCTAAATGTTATAAGCTATGGTTTTTGCTTGGATCTGTGGAACTAAAACTTTCTTTAAGTGCCTGCGAGCCCTACTCTTTTGCATCCGTACCATGTAGACTAAACTTTGAACCAGGGACGCCGCATCTCCGGTGCTTAATATCTGCTATCATGTCATATAACGCCCTAAACTTCTGAATTTTTTTTATTCCTTATATGTACCTTTGCGCCCGACAAAGTCATCCTCTTTTCCCCCATCTGCTTACTGCATTAGATACACATGCATTGGCATTAGGCAAGTGCACACAAATCTGCACCTAATATAAATTTCACTCTCCATGTGTATCGCTAAATCTACTAATACCATTTCTTTCCCGTTTATTTTGCACCTATTGGGCATCTTTTGTCGCGCAACACGCGTCCAGGCTAGTATATATATATATATGTATATAGGGTTAAGATTGGATACAAAGTGTGCTTCCAGTACAAAATGCAAATTCATCCCATCCGTCCAATATTATGCAATCAATGGTAGGATTTGTTAGGAGTTGTTTTGAACACTAATAAATGAGCCGTACGGTAGGGGAGTTTTTTAGGAGTTTTTTAATTTTAGGATTCTAACCTCTACATGGAAACCATCTACACCCTTATTTCATTCATATGGATGGCCTAGATTAATTTGCACTTTGTAAATTAAGATTACTTTGTATGTGATCCTAAATTGGAAACAACGTAACATAGGTAAATTATGAGGAAGGATAGGGGTATATATATAATACTACCTCCGTCCCATAAAATTCTTCCCACTTTCTTTTTTGGGTCGTCCCAAAAAATTCTTCTCACTTTCCTTTTTTGGACAATTTGTGTGGTTCACATTCATTTCACCTTTTTCTCACACAACCACAATCACACATTTCCACTTTAATCCACTTTCTTAATCTTCATGCCAAGTCAAAGTGGGAAGAATTTTTTGAGACGGAGGGAGTATTAATAATGATGATGATGAAATCCTAATTACATGAACATATTAAATAAGGTGACCCTTGCAACTTGCCAGTAGCTAGTCTGGATGGCCCCCAAAACATCTTAATTATTCCATACATGCTTTGCCTAAAGATGATCCAGAAAGTCTTCAAATAAGGAGGACCGACGTATGGCATGCTGCTCAAAATTATTCTCTTCCATCCATTCAATTACATACATTCCGAATTGTAATTTCACAAGTAACATATACTAAACCACATTTATTTTTCAAATACTTTTCTTATAATAATTGAATACAAATTCAATTAGATCAAACGAAAAGTACTATTTTGTGAAATTTGTTATTTGCATGTTGTGCTTTAATTTCTTTGACTTTATATATCGGGATGCAAATTCAAAAATATTATTATTGATATAGAAGCAAAATAACGTGAACTTAGAAATTGCTCAGTATAATTAAAACTAAAACATTTATGAAATTCTAGAATAAGATTAAGTATGTTTTATTATATTACTCAAATATGACTTATGTAGTCCTATTAAGATGGTTAAAATTACAAGGAATGCAACAGTTTCGGGCAAAGAGAGACATACATGCAATTATAGAAAAAGCTAGGTAAAATAAGATCTATGGAATATATAGTTAAAGATAAGGAATTACTTTTATAAGGTTGGGAAAATGGAAACTAATAATTCAACCTTTTAGCAGACTTGTTACAATAGTTCCACATTTTCGTTATTTATGAATAATCCAACCTTTGCACCCCATCTTCATTCGTTGGTCCGTGCAGACCGGTTAATGACCTGCTATTCCAATTTATTTTCTTATCTTTGCAAAATATTATCTTTGTGAAAGGTGAGATTTATGGTATAATGGTTTGCAAAGATAAGAAAATAACTTGGAATAACAGGTCATCAACCGGTCAGGGACTAATGAATGAAGATGAGGTGCAAAAGTTGGATTATTCATGAATAACGAAAAGGTGAGACTATGGTAAGAAGACCGCTAAAAGGTTGGATTATTAGTTTCCATCTTTGTTTCAAATGTTTTGTTATGACATCAAACGCTCTTAATAACAATTGATTTGTTATGCATCTAACTCTGTTTCATAGTTACAAGTACTCTTTCCATTAACTCCTTTCTTCAAACAAAAAACAAATGATAGGTATTATAATGGGAAAATACCTATCTCAGACCTGTATTTCTGAGATTGTAAATGTCACCCCTCAATTGTCCAAAATGTTGTAAATGTGGTCCTTTAAGTAGTGAAATGTACTATCGCACACATTGTATACTTCACCCCTCAAAAGGACCACATTTATAGCATTTTGGACAAGGTGACAACTCCGGTACCCTTTTAAAAATTGGGGTACTATACCTATCATGCATTTGATTGGTCCAAATCATTCTATTCCTTTTAATTTAGATTTAATTAATTCAACTGCATCATTCCTATTGGTCCATGTGGACAAAGGTATGGTACCTTAAGGGTACCATAGAATTTACCTTTGGACAATTGAGGGGTGACATTTACAATCTCAGAAATACAGGTCTGAGATTTTAATTTCGTGGATAACTGAGGGACCATATATGCGATTTTCCCTATTATAATTGGTGACATTGATAAAACTTCTCAAGAAATATTCATGTATAAATCGAAGCATTTGCCTCACACCGGAAAGCTATAAAACAATTAAAACACTATATAAGGTTTTGGACTACTCCTCCTAACAGGTTGACCTTTTATGATGGAACCTCGGGTCTTAACATGGTATCAGAGTCAATTCCGGTTGTGGTTTGACGGCTTGTTTAGCTATAAAACAATAAAAACACTATATAAGACTTTGGGCTACTCCTCCTAACAGGTGACCTTTTAGGATGGAACCCCGGGTCTTAACAAAAGCACACAAAATACCAATCACACATATCTAACATTCTAAATGTCAGTGACATTTTTACTTTCACATAACTGTATATGTCACTTTAGAGGTCAACCTCATTTAGGATCTCTTTGGGAATTCATCATGATTAAGCATGCTGCAGTTTTATGCTTTTATATATGATTATATGATATGGCTTTTTTATTTAAATAAAAACAGTAGTAACATTTATGTAATGATTATTGACTGGCTGTTTGATCCTTCAAGATTGAACAACTAAGCTTTACCCTCACCCAAAAAAGACAGATACCAAGTTTAATTTGGTCTACACTTTAATTTGGCTTTCAATCTGATCTGACCGGATGCTTACTTTGATGTTTTTTCTATATATGTTTAATTTCCCCTCAAATAACATTTCCTATAATTTACATATATATTCACTATCAGGGATCGACAAGAGTAGTTTAACATGCAGCTAGCTAGTGGATACTCATATCTACTAACACATTATAGATGATAATTAATGAATAATATAATGGGCAAGAATGCAATGCAAGATGATATATAGGTAGGTGAGATAGAACTCTCCTCCTTCACAATGGATGTAGAAAAATGGCCAAATTGGAAGTTAAGAATTGATTGAATTTGACGTACAGATATAATGTCGGAATCTATGTAGCACGAAAACGCGGGAAAGAGTACGTTTCCATTTTACTCTTTGGAAACTCTCCCGACAAGCGTTTTTTTTTTTTTTGCAAAATTTGAGTTTCCTATTTCTCGTTTTCTGATGACATCCGTGTTTCTGTGCAACATAGGTCGGAATATATAGTACAGCACTACAGCAGAGGACTGATCGATGAATCGCTTAGCTTGTTGTATGTATATATCTATGTATAGCAACCGATTCAATTCAAGGCCGGCCATGGAAAAGGAAATGACAAGCTAATAAGATACAGCTGCTAGCTAATTAAGCTAGCTAGCTAGTTCATGGAATAATTAAATTCTAAGCAAGTAAATACTAAGCTCAGGAGCCCCATGGCTATCTGGATTCATCATGTACAGTGCCTCTGAATCTCTAGACCCAACAACTCTCTCAAACTTAGCTCTCATATACATTATCTCCCTCCCTCCTCCTCCTTCTCCCCCCTTATCATCACTGTCACTGTTATTTGCAGGTAAAACGCCAGCCCCCATTGAAATGGGCTCCACCGCCTTCAAAACCTCCCATTCTTTCTCCCCCGTCTCCCTCCGCGCCGCGAACCCGCATTTCTTCCCGTTGCAGTACGTTCTCCACACCGGCTCCTCGAGAAGCGGCTTCCCCGCACCCGCTCCCCTCATCGTCTTCTCTTCTTTATCGCACTCCAACGCGATCCGGACAAGACCGGATGCCATTTCCCGAACCAGGCCGGCTATCGGGGTGGCCAGCTCCACCAGGAAAACCGGCCTGGAAACGGGATCCTTCTGGAGCGCCAGGTGGACATGCCCGCTCCGGAACCCGAACAGCGTCCCCACTAGCCTTGTCCCCAGACCCTGGTGGTGGTGGTGGTGGTGATGGAGGAAGAATATGTTTCTTCTGTTCCTGCCCAGCATGGTTAGCATCGATTTCAGCCTCGAAACTGCCACTGCTTGTAGCTTCCTGCGCGCCTCTGGCTTCGTCCTTGATCTCCCGCTCTTTCGCTGATGGGTATCTTCTTCGTTTGTGGTTACTATGACTGCGGCCGCGGCGTGATTTATGGATATCAGATCATCTTCTTCCTCTTCTTCTTCATTGCTAACTTTAGACGTCCAATGATGTTTCTTCGGTGACAGGTCTTGGATACTATTATTAGCCATATTTGTCTTTCACCTAAGCAAGACGGACAGTTCACACAAGAGATCGAGGTCCTTTTAATAATGGATATGATGATGATGAGAGAGAGAAAGAAATATTCTATCTGCTTTATTTGCTCTTTTTTTGATGTGATCTTTTTGTTTTGTCTTCTCTTGTATCTCATCTCATCTCAGCCTGCTATATTTGCATGTTTTTTAAAATGAATTTTACTTGTTGGTAGTGATGAAAGCTAAGGTAATTTTAAAAATGCGGCCCCCCATATTTCAAGAAAGTCATGCACAAAACATTCACAAATCACAAGATAAATTCTAACTCTCGTGTCACTCATCAGCATAGGATCCTTGTGTTTAATTTGTTTCTTGAGGAAACAACTAACAAGCATACAAGGTGGGTTACGTTGAACAAAAAATGGAGCCAAAGATAAAGTAATCTACAACAAAGCGTTGCACACAAAATATTTGGTGATAATGTATAGTGTATTGATAATGACGCAAATGTACACTACGTATAGTTATCAATGGCGCAACCCATTTAAAAATTGGCAAAAGAGATATTTAGAGAATCTAAAGAATGACTTATGACTCTCACACAAAAAAATTAAAGAACGCATCTTGGTGTCATGATAAGTGGAACCAATCATAAGAAGCTAGGAACATAATAGAATGCTACGAAAATTGGGGAGAAAGTTGAAGTGACCAGAACATAGAGGAGCACAGAGAGACTAAAGGAAGCACGATGAAAAGTGAAAAAGGAGTTGTATGTAAAATTCGACTTTAAAGATTATCAGAGAGAAAATTCCTTGGGTAGCGCTAAACCATAGAAAAATTGCACAAATAAGATTACCATTATTTTCTTCCTAAAATAAGACTCGTTCACTCCTAATTGGGAAAGTTTTATGTTTTTTTAATACGATCGAATAAGTCCTATTTTGAGAATAAAACATAGTTACTCATATTTGTTCATGTTTTAGTGTTATTTGCAACAATTTTAGTCTTATTTCGGGATGTCTTTCGATGGAAATTAACTAGAAAAGTCATATCACGCAAGTATATCAACAGGATTGTACTACAAGTGTTCATACTAGTGTAGGGGGGCGCAAAGTTCCTTATTACTATCAGAGTGCACCAATTAAGAATGGGCTCTGAGTCCTTTCTTATTTGCTATAGTCATAAATGAACTCATCATGAAGGAATTTCAAGAAGATATATCGTGTTCAATGATATTTTCCGATGATATTGTGTTAATTGATGAAATTAAAAATGATCAGATGTTAAAACAAAGTATGTATGGTGACAAAATATAGAGAACAAGAGTTTCAGCTTATGAGCATGAAGGAGGCGCTTAGTTGCTTGTCTTTGGGGCTATTAGCAGAAAACATTAATACTCTCGGTAGGGATTTTACTAGCATCGCCTACATTCATGTAGGCCTTCTGTGAACACACCTGCTCGTGCTTTAGCTAAGATGGTGTGTTCTTTGTCTAATCCTCGGTTTTGGTTTTTTCCTCCGCTGGATTGTATCACCCGGCCATGTACTTCATCATGATGTGATTAATGCTAGTTAATTTGTTTCTGTTGAAGAAAAGAGTTTCAGCTTGAGCTGAAACAGGAACGAGTATATGGAGTGAAAGTTTAGTGGAGTATATAATTATACCGAAGGAGTGTCCATACTATATTACTATGTAGTACTCCGTAATAAATAAATAAATAAATAAATAACAAATAAAGAATTTAAGAAAGAGGGGAAAAGATAAAATGAGATCAATCTTTCACATGCATGTGTGTCATCCACTTCAATTCATTCTGTCGAAAGTCATACTCTTATTCAATTCAAGAAGTGTCATATCATTCATGACTCATCTTACAAAGACAGAGATAAGAATAAGATAACGATTAAAAAGATAAGATAAAAAGATAAAATGATTAAAAATGCACTCCATATCAAATTATATAAAAAAATTACTTTTAAAAAATGCTTTTATAAATAAATTTCCTTAATTATATACCCCCAGTACTAAAATAAATTATTCAAAGGTATTTTCGTGTTAGATTTAATATAATCTTTGTTAAATCACTACAAAAAGACACGCAATTAATAGAGATTCGTCAAAATTCATAGAACATTTGGCAGAGATATTATATGTCAATTCTTTGCCAAAATCATTTTGGCGTGAACTATTTGACATAAAATGATCGATGAATCCTTATCAATTCCATAATTCTTTTTTGCAAAGACAAATGTCAACTTAAAGTTACCATTACAAAAGTTAAAACAATACAATCCTGAATTATAACCCAATTAAAGACGAACCTAATTCAATACAATCCTGAATTATACGGAGTATTACGGTATTACCTAGGAAACTCCATGTGGCATGGTATCGTATACACGTGACGTGTAAAAGATATTCACCTATACATGACTATTTTTTTCAAAATTCCCATATTTTATACTACGTATTTTTGAAAGAAAACATGGCCGGTATCTTTTATAATGGTTTTTGGCAAGCACTACTGCATTACGTAGTATGTAATCTTGATGGCGTAGCACTGCACTGTACGTGACATATATATGAGGGATAGGTGTTAATTAATGACGAAGAAAAATGTGGAAGTTGATTAATAAATCAGTGAGTAACATTTATGGGGAGAGGAATTTAAGTCAACACTTTACTATTCTTGTTTTGTTTTTTTTATCAAACTATTCTTGTTTTGTTAAGAGAAATAAATAATATTCTTGATTGATAAGAAAAAGGGAGATGATATAAACATGAGAATTTTTATGTACTAATTTCATTTCTTTTGTTTCAATTTGTACAATTGTACATTCTTTCATTCTTCTCGACCGTTGGCAATTCGCACATTAACATTTTGCATTGAGATTGATCGAGTGTGAAGCTTAAGAAAGAGATCACTTTGCATGGATGTAAATATATGAAGAAACATCAAACATGCATCATTTGAGGAGGTAATTAAGTAAATACAAGGCTTTATATTGGCCTTGGTCAGGAGCAAAAACACTGCATTGTGTATTTAAAAAAAAGCAGCATTTTGGGGTAAACGCAATTATCCAAATAGCCCATTAATTATGTAGTTTATACTTCCTATTAAAAAGTCAAATCAAACAATTAGACTCTTTATTCTCCTATGTTTGTATGTAAAGTGCTACGTATTTACCTTGGGCTCATATTGTGTTAGCCTTAGGCAGTGGCGGACACGGCCCACAAAAAGATCAATTTGATACAACTAATCCAGAACTTTAATACGTAAAAATACACCTTTCATCTCATTTTACTTTTCTTTTTGAGTCATTCCAAAATAAATGTCATTTTTCCTATTAAAAAGAAATATATAATGTGCAACATTTCATCTTATTATACTCAAATCTTAATTATAATTTTTACTTTTTCAATCATCATATTTATAATTGTGTCATGCACAAAATAGGCGATTCTTATACTTGGACCAAACAACCATCGACGAAAGAAAGCCATTAAAGAATAGAATTTCGAGGAAGGAAACAGAGATGTCCCACAAACATGTCATAGGAATTTGCAGAGAGGAAAACACCAAGGGGTGACGAAAAGAGAGGTGCTTTGAAATTACAAGAATGCTTTTGCTTCATGTACCCACTCTTGAAAAAAGATTGGGGTAAACACTTTTTGTACACACAATTTGTACATTGACAGACAACTCATCTCGCGACAGACAACTTGTCTGTGGGAGACAGACAAGTGTACAAATTGTGTGTACAAAAAGTGTGTACCCCTAGCTCCACCCCCCACTCTTATACTCATCTTATACCACCATGTTTGTGAAGGTTTTTTTTGTCTGTGAACACGGTTCACAGACAATATTTTGTCTGTGCAAAATATTGTCTATGAATCGGGGTTCACAGACAATAAAAAAAACTTCACAAACATAGGTGAGTACAAAAGTGGGTATAAGAGTGGGTGCAAAGATCATTTTTGTTGAAATTAATGGATAGATAGAATCTTATGGAGACAACATATGAGTCACTTCACTTTCAGGTGGGGTAGACGGAGTTAAAGCCTGAAACAGAAGATTAAGCTTTGATTGACTATCTGACTCTTCTACTACCCTTTTTCTTCCTTAATAAACTCACAAACTTTCCTTTTCCTCAATCCATATATGAAGAAAAGTAAACTCATTTGAAATGGTTCCCTTTTTTCTTCTTCCTTATTTTACTATTAATAATTAGTGAGTATATTGCATTTGAACTATTCGATTGTGATGTTTTGATTGATTCCGTCATATTGACATTTGACACTATGATATCATAGAGGTAATGTAGAATTTGCCTGATTTTAGGTCAATGTTATTTTGCTAACTTCATAATAAATCTCATTCAATTCACTAAGTTTTTTATTTTTTATATTTCTATTGTTGAGTCATGTGGACAAAAAGATGGGAATGAGAGACTCCGATTGTCATCGGTTGTCGTGAGCCTGTGAATTGGATAACACAATTCAAAAAGACCAGTTCAATTCTAATTATTGATCAAGTATCCTAAATTATGTAAGAAATAAACTTAAGGGGTTAAGATCAATGCAGTTATGGTTTCAGGTGATTGCACTTTATTATGGAAAATCTTTTAGAATCTCGATTACCAGACCCTATTGACTCTTACGGAGTATATCACTACTATCGTACTTCAATTCCCATTAGTAGTTCTAAGATGACGTTTGGCAACACTATTTTTCGGTTTATCATGTTTATCAGTCAATTTTTTCACTAAACACGTAATTTTTGCTTTCGCGCGTTGAATTGTGTAATAAGCTGAAAAAGTAAGGTTGAAGTTACTTTTCTGGCTGTATTGACTGAAGTTATTGTAGATGATCATTTTAGCTATTTTACATATAATTTTTTCTTTATTTTATTAATAAAATAAATTTTATAAATAATTTTTTCGTAAATCAGCAGAATCAGTCGCAGCCACTTCAGACATAACTCCATAAATTTCAGCAGAATCAGCCAAATCAGCAGATTTCCGCACTACCAAACGGGCTCTAAGTTTTATACAAAGAATTTGC